CTGCTGAACAGCTGGAGTTGGTGCTGGAGTTGCAAGAACCACATCTGGAGAATCAATATCAAACAGATCATTTGGACTGATTCCACTCTCACTCAAAGCAGCAAGCAACAGATCTTGTCCTGGCTCCACCATCTCTAAAAAAAATTAAGACCATAAATACACGTTACATCGAGTTTTGGCTTATTTGGTGCAAACACTCACATTTGTAGTTCCCTTTCCTGGATTTAAGAGCATACTCAATGCGATCATTTGTATACATAGTTTCACTTTCTAGATCAGCCCTAGGTCATTCGTAGATTTTTCCTTATTTTTATAGTTTTTTTTTTTTTAATCATTTCATTATGCCCAAATTTAGGAGGAGGCAGGAAGAATGAAATAGCTTACCACACATAAAATACTATCACACTCAGATTAAAAGAAGGGAGAAAAAAAGACCCGTCTAGTCTTCATCATACAACGTTTTTAAGCATTCCAAGAAATAAAAAGGCAGAAGTGAGCAGACTGTTATGCTAATGATATGTATTTCTCAGTGAAGCATGGTGAACAAGGAATGCACAATTAACTCGTTTATCTTGTAACAATAAGTTAGTGATAAAAAGCTTTTAAGAAAAGCTTTTATTTCTTGCTTGCTGTTCATGAGGTAATAATTCATTTGTTGTAGAAATTTTATTTTGCATAGGGGAAAGGACAGACATTGCACTATTACAATTTTGTAACTACATTATTAAATAGGACACTAAAGTCAGGTCATAGGCTCCTTTATGTGTGGGGCAGGCAAAGTTTATTTCAAAAGCTACTCCAAACAGTGCAAAAAATGTATTAAAAACCCACAACAACTGTTTTAGGAAGGAAGAGGGAATACGATGTGTTCTGTTCTCCCAGGAAGGAAGCCAATTTGCCATAGTACTAAGACTAGTGTTAAATTTAAGTCCACATCACTTCAGTTGTTGCCTATATAGTCTAAAACCCACCTCAAGTAGAAATTTCCCTTATTTTCCTGTTTAGTCACACCCCCTGTACTGCTTATTGGCAACAAAACATCTATCTAGATATAAGAAAACTGAACATCTATTCCAAGGTAGATAAATATTTTGCCCTCGTTAGATACATCTATGCATCGACTCTGAAACAGCGTTCAACTGTTTATCTTTCTCTACTGTTGTAGCTAAGCTACATTCAGCTGGGTGGTCAAACACGTTAGAACACTTGGTAGAACAGGTAATTATTGTAATATATAAAATGCCTGGCACTTAGTTCTTATTTTTCCTAGTTTTAATCTGTCCAATAATGGAGAAATACCTTCTTTTAGTAGATTAATATTGGCATGGTGACACCACAACTGAAATAGTGGATGTAAAAGTAACCTTAACTTTGTCCCAGAACCTTAAGTGTGAACAAAGGCTGTCCATGCCCAGAAGAACACTGATGCAACCAACAATTACTGAGGGAATTGCTGTGTCAGAACTAGACTGTGCTTAAAAATAAATAAAAAGACACCTGAGGTGATCAGATAAACTACAAACCAATGGGGCCTTCTACCATTTTACCAGGTACAGAAGTAATTAAAACACAAAAATACCTAGCAAATTTAATTAACATAACCTTTGAAGGAGCAGCTATCACCTCCTACTAGTCTGCCTCCTAGAACCCTGAATGGGTCAATAAAAAATGGATATGAGAACAGACAGTTAGCTTTCTGAGGAGTTAAGCTTCCCTTTTCAAAAAAAAAAAAAGGGAGGGAGGAGGCTACTACA